GATACTCACGGTTCTCCAAATTGTCGTTGAGATCAGATCAAATTCTCATCCAGGTTCACTGATTCAAAGCCCTTTGTATTAAAACATCTCCAAACAGGGTTAAACATATCATGCACATTATTTACGTTTGAATTCGATATGTTTAAGACGTTCTAGGTTCACCAAATTGGCCTCAAAACTTATTAATTAGGCTACCATCTCGCATTTTAGTTTGATTACATTCATAGATCAGGGGGCCTCCATAAGCTCGGTCGGTAGAGCCTGCGACTATAAAGCAAACCATGCTGGAGGTGGCTGGTTTCGAATCCCGGTTGGTCTAGGATTTCAGATTGGAAAATTTCTCGACTTCCCTGGGCATAGTATATTATTGTACTTGCCACACAATATACACATGTAAAAATCGAACAGGCTTGGAAAGCTTTCAATTAACAACTGTGGAAGTGCATCTAGAGCACTAAGTTGAGAGCAGGCGTTAAGTTACAGTTGGGACGTAATAGCCAGAGAAGATCATATATAGCACTAACTAGCGGAGGAATTCCGAATTGTTCTGTCCATCATCCAACAGTCCTTGACCTCCTGATCAACTTTGCCGAAGAAATCATCCGTCTAAATATTCAGGATCTTGAGATACAGCAGCACAAATATATTCACTTTCAATAATCACTAGCGCCATCTAGTGGAGGAATTCTGAATTGTTCTGTCCATCATCCAACAGTCCTTGACCGCCTGATCAACTTTGCCGAAAAAATCATCCGTCTAAATAGTCAGGATCTTGAGATACAGCAGCGCAAACTTCGAATGTTTAGCGCCACCTAGCGGAGGAATTCCGAATTGTTCTGTCCATCATCCAATAGTCCTTGACCTCCTGATCAACTTTGCCGAAGAAATCATTCGTCTAAATAGTCAGGATCTTGAGATACAGCAGCACAAACATATACACTTCGAATGCTCACTAGCACCGCCTAGCGGAAGAATTGACTATTTTTAGTCTCTTGTTCCAGCGAGCACCGAAGTTATTGAATTTTATCACATTGTTTCGATTTTGCCCCCAGTGTGCATTGTAGTTTCATTTTTATACCTATGATCTTGACTTTTTTACCTAGGGATGAGTACTTAAGGGTGTTAGATTTTGTTAAGTTATTTAGTGGGAATGACACATTGCACATTGTAGTCGAAATACGTATCGGTCATGGATACCGAAATTAATTAAGTGGAATTAAATGGAAGATAACCTTTTTTTTGCTGTTTTATTTAAGCATTCCGCTAACAACCCAATTTAATTACTTCATTATGATGGCTACCAAGCCTTTGGGATTTCCCTTATTAGAGAGTTGTATAGATTTTTTTCCTTTAGTTTACTTAAATCTTTGGTTTTTATTAGTTAGGTAGGTTCCGATTCAACACACTGTAGTTTCATTTTTATACCTATGATCTTGACTTTTTTACCTAGGGATGAGTACTTAAGGGTGTTAGATTTTGATAAGTTCTTTAGTGGGAATGACACTGATGAAGACTGCACATTGTAGTCGAAATACGTATCTGTCATGGATACCGAAAATAATTAAGTGGAATTAAATGGAAGATAACATTTTTTTTGCTGTTTTATGCAAAAATATTGTTTATTTTGACAACACACCTGAAAAAAAGATAGAAATTTTGAACGATGGGTCGGATCAGCTTATCAACTCACAAATTAATTCTGCACAAATGGTTTTCCGAATAGTTGTCGTTTCGAGAATTGGCAAAAAGCGTGAAGTGCAGTAGATCTGCAGTGTTCAAGATTGTTAAGAAGTTTGGAGAAACATGTTTTCTTGAAGATTTATCGAGATCTGGGCGCAAAAAATGCCCCCGGACCAGAAAAAGGAGCTGGCAGCAGTACGCCTTTTGAATTCGCATAAACCGTGTTCCGTTCGGAAAATTGCCAAAACATTGGACATTAGCGTCGGAACTGTGCAGAATATCAAACAACGTAACAATATCAGAACCTACAAGAAGCAAAAAGCACCCAAAAGGACGGATTCACAGAAAGCTTCTTCGAAAATACGGTCACGGAACTTGTATGACGTTCTCCTTCAAAAGCCGAACTGGCGCATTTTACACTTCCTTGGCCGCAATTTTTCAACGCTGAGCAGAGGAAAGATGTGCCTGATGATGTGTGATACATCCAAATCGAAAATTTTTGAAAAAAGGTTTTGGTGTGGCAAGCCATTTGCTCCTGTAGCTTGAAGAGTTCTTCGTATTTCACAATGGGCACAATCAATGGTGAAAATTACAGAAAAGAATGCATCAAAAAACGGCTTCTACTCATCTACCGAAAGCATACGGTTCCTCCATTGTTTTGGCCGGATCTGGCATCTGCTCTCTATGCTTCTGCTACGTTGGAGATGCTCAAGAAGGAAAAAGTCGATTTCGTCGAAAAATTCCATAAAAGTGGTCAATTAATGAAACTGATCCTAGAGCTCCGTGGTTTTTTGAAACCGCTCATATACGTTTTATTGTAATTAATTCTGAGTTTTGACTGGAATTTGCACTCTGAGGACTACTTGATGGTCCACCGGAAGATCCGGAACATCTGTAAAAGAGGTCAATTCATGAAATTGATCCTAGAGCTCCGTGAGTTGTGACCGGAATATGGACGCTGGGGACTACGGGATGGTCTACTAGAAGATCTGGAACATCCGTAAAAGTGGTAAATTTATAAAACTGATCCTGTAGCTCTGCTTTTGGGGGTCTTATCAGAATGAATTCGAAATTGTGACCGGAATATGAACCCTGGGAACCACTTTCCTAGAAGCAATGAAATATTTTAATACCACATAGAAATCATACATGATAATAAATAGGAAAAAATATGTCTATGAGCAGTTCTGCTGAGATCAGATTTCTGAGTTCTGCTGATGTTCCGGATATTCCGGAGGACCATCCAATGGACCCTAGGGTCCATTTTTCAGTCACAACTCCGAGTCCATTCTAATGAGATGTATATTATCTTTCAGAGGAGCATTCATGGTCTCCAGGGTCTATTTTCCGATCGTAGCTCCGAATTCATTAAGACGTCTATAAGAGTTTTCGAAAATGTACCGAGTTCTTGGATCTGTTTAATGAATTGACTCTTTTACGGATGTTTCTGATCTTTCGTAGGACCATCCACTGCACTAGGTCCCAAAGCCGTATTTAGGGAGACAAAAATGTTTGCGCCCAAACCGTTAGTTTTGGTATAGAGTGTCTTCGGGAAAGTTTCTTCATAGTTTTTGGCCAATCTTTTTATGTTAGTGAAATTAGGTGGTCCACAAAATTGGTGATTTGAAAATACAAACTTTTTTTTTATTATTTGAGATCGACCAATGCAATTTTCTAAAAAGTTGTAGAACAATCAATTCGAAGCAGCTTTGCTAAAGACATCAAATTTATGTCTCTTATTGTTCATGAGTTATGATTGTTTTAAACAAGCAGGACATTTTTTTGTTTTTGACAGATTTCTTTGAATATCTTTTCATTTCTCGTAAAAACATTGTTTTGGTTACATTTAGAACTTATGATGATATTTTTGCTGAAGCAATCAGGTTGCTATCTTTTTTGATTAGAAAATTAATGGAGATTTTCTTCAAAAAAAAAATGTCAATATCTCTAAATGGAGCAAACAGATTTCTACGCTTTTGATTCCATTTAAAAGAACGTTTTTTCATTTTTGGTGAAAAAACTGTGTAAGCGTTTTTTGTTTAAAGTATTTAATTTATTTAAAAAAAAATCATATATTTAAGAAAAAACTAGCTATTACTTTAAAAAAAAAGGAGATATTGCTTCTGCAAATATATGCGTCATAAAAAATTATTTACATCAAAGTTTTTACGAGAAATCAACGTGTAAAAATATATTTAAAGAAAGCCGATATTCTAGGGGCCAGCCTAACCAGCTCGTTTAAAATAATCATAACTCATGAACCATACGAGATAAAAATTTGATGGCTTCAGCAAAGTTGCTTCAAATTGATTGTTCTACAACTTTGTTAAACATTGCATTGGTCTATCTCAAATAATAAAAAAAAGTTTGTATCTTCAATTCACCAATTTTAGGACCACCCAAATTTCACTTACATAACGATATTGACCAAAAAATACGAAGACACTTTTCCCAATACACTATATAACTAAAAGTGATGGTTTGGGCGGTTATATTTTGTCTACCTAAATACGGCTTTGAGACCACTTTACACTGGTCCCTAGGGTCAATTTTCTGGTCATAACTCCAAATTCATTCTGATAAGACGCCAATGAGTGGTTTCAGTTTCAAGAGCTGAAACATTTTATGGATGTTGCGGATCTTCCTGGTGAACCATCTCGTAGTTCCAAGGGTTCATTTTCCGGTCAAAACTCCCATTTTATTTTGATGATATATCTAAGGGCCTCCCTTAGCTCAGTCGGTAAAGGTACAGCTGCAAAGCAAAACCATGCTGGAGGTGGCTGGGTTCGATTCCAGGTCTGGTCTATTTTTCGGGTTGGAAATTTTCTCGACTTCCCTGAGTATACACACTTAAAACAAATTCACTTGCTCGACAGAATAAAATACTGATCCGACACGGTAATTCATAATTTTGCTGATATTTCGGCAACCAACATATTTTTTTCCGAGATTAACCAAAAATTTTACCGAAACATTGGCAATCAAACTATTTTTACAAATATTCGGCAAAGTAATTCTCTGAGCCCATCAGTAAATAGAGATAATACCGAAATCAGCAATTGCATTTACTGAGATGTCGGTTTTGACCTCATCCATTGCCAAATTTTGGTAATACAGCTTCACTTTTTTCCACCCGCCATTTTTCGTCTTGTGAATCAAAATTGGCTGTAAATCGCAGAATAATGAATCAAGTGTTTAAGTGCTAAATGAGGACGGCAGGATCTACGATCTTTTTCGTAAGTACACAATTGTTGTTAATATCGCCAGTATTATTTTTCGTAGGCCTCTTCTATCACCTGTTTTTTTTTGCCGTCAGTGCCATATACACATTCATATCCGGAATACGCTTTCCCTGCTGCTGCTTGTTCCTCAAATGTAAATCCCGAATAGCTTCCTGTGATTATTATTAGCAGTGCAATAAACCAAATTTCAACACATATGACGACAACGAGGACGACGGTAAAAATGAAACATGTGAATGGCGCCATTGACTATAAGAATACCGCTTCACTTCCCGCTACGATGATGTGGCCCACAGGTAGCCATCTGGCAGAGTATGCACGTTCCTGGCTCACCGCGAACCTCGACAGTTCTGGTCAGGAAGCATATTCTTTGTTCAAGGGCGAGCTCGAATGCCGGAATTTTCTGCAGTGATCGTGTTTTGTTTCATTGTTACCTTAATGTCATCAGAGTTTGTGTGTTACCATTGTATGTATATACCACTAGTCAATAGAAAACAGTGCAGTGGTTAAAAAAAAGTGGAGCACGAGGATCTGTTTAATGAAGTGCCCACTTTTACGGGTGTTTCGGATCTTCCGATGGACCATCCCGTAGTCTCAAGAGTCCATATTCCGAACACAACTCCGAATACATTCTGATAAGATGTCTATGAGTGGTTTCTAAAAAACCGCGGTGCTCTAGGATCTTTTTCATGGATTGACCACTTTTACAACTGTTCAGGATCTTTTAGTGGACCATCCCGTGATCCCCAGTGTCCATTTGCTGGTCATTCCTCCAAATTTATTGTGATAAGATGTCTATGAGTGGTTTCGAAAAAAAAAACCGCGGAATCTCTATGATCAGTTTCATCAATTGACAAGTTTTACGAATGTTACGGATCTTTTGGTCGATGAGTAAGTGAGCCTCAGGGTCCATATTTCGATTACAACTCCGAATTATTTATGATACAACGTTTAAGAGTGTATTTGACAAAAAAAAAAACACGGAGCTCTATGATCAGGTTCATGAATTGACTACTTTTACGGATGTTTCGGATAATCCGGTGGGCCATCCCGTAGTCTCCAGAGTTCATTTTCCGAACACAATTCCGAATTCATTGTGATAAGATGTCTATGAGTGGTTTTGGATCTTCTAGTGGACCAACCCGTGGTCCTCAGTTTAAATTTTCTGGTCAAAACTTTGATTTTATTGTTATAAGACGTCTATGAGTGCTCTAGTATCAGTTTCATGAATTGAACACTTTTACGGGTGTTTCGGATCTTCCGATGGACCATCACGTAATTTCAAGAGTCCATATTCCGAACAAAACTCCGAATACATTCTGATAAGGTGTCTATGAGTGGTTTCTAAAAAACCGCGTAGTGCTAGGATCATTTACTTTTACGAATGTTCCGGATCTTTTAGTGGACCATCCCGTGGTCCCCAGCGTCCAGCTACAAAAGCAAAACCATGCTGGACGTAGTTTGGTTCGATTCGCGGCCGTATCCGTCTTAAGTGTGACACGTAACGGGTAGCAGTTTTTTCGATTGGACCCTCTCTTGACCCGCGTGTGAGTATCGAAATTGGAATTGCAGGTTCATGTCGCTGGCATCTCAATCGAAGCGTATCCGGGTGGCATGTCAGTACATCGATTAATCACGAGCCTTACTGAGAGAAGTAAGCGCGGGAGATGTGCGTTGTAGCCTGTTGCAAAAAGTCTGATTTCACAAGGCTTTTTGTGTTGCGCTGAATTTCTGCGAAGTGCTTTTTAACGCAGGTAACGATGACTATCCATGAGACGGGTAAGACTACGCCAAGCCCACACATGGCTGCCTGGAACGTTGATGTTCACCCACGGCGGCAGGTTTGGGATGGACCGACGAGCATACGGAGGCGCTTCACGAGGACATTGCTCACTGGATCATGAAACCCCAATGAGTGGCTGCATCGGTTGGAGTGACAGTGACAACGTCGCCCAGAACAATTTCCTCGAAACGTCGACGGAAACACAGAGAATGGTCGAGATGCAGCAGCATATGTTTTCCACAGACCGTTGTTGGTAAAACAATACCGTGTGGAGGAGCCTCACACCAGTCCGGTGAGTATAATTATTAAATTACCATGTACAATATGAAACAAAGAAGGTTATGGAAAGGTCGGAATAGGATGGGTAATAAACAAAGGTGATGTACAATTTAACGTCTTGGTCGCTTCTATTGTGATGAAAAGAACACGTTCCATGAAGAATAGCTTTATTCTTCATAACATGCGTCAATGAATTTTGATTCTCAAAAACAAAAATGCGTTTAAAGCCATTGTTTACAAATGGTTGATGCGTCTTTTTCTATTGTTGATATAGAACTTGTGTAATGCTATTTATTTTTTATGTCCTGTGGAATTTCTATCTACGTTAGTGGAACGGTTGTTGATCATGGCAAACAGTTTTTTCTTCTTGTTTTATTATTGAAATATGTACTCACTTTGATCCCAAACTACGACATTTTCGATGACCGATAAACTTTGCTGATGATGTAGGTGGTATTGTTGAAAACCTCATAGAGCTAGACTTTGCGGGTGACAAATTTGGGGAAGCTAACGTCGATGGCTCACCTGTGTTGTCATCTGCAGCTGTTGAGATTACATGTTTAAAGGTCGAGTTTTTACTATTATGGGCCGAAGAAAAAGGCAATGGTAATAGTGGTTCCAATTTAAGGGATTTCCTAGAAAAAAAAAAGAAAACTGTCATATATATACATAAAAGCAGCCGTTGCTTATCTCACTTGTATTGATCATCTTCGAAAATGTTTTGCAGTTCTTCAATGTACCTGACAGAGTTCAGATAATTGAGTGTTCTTGGTATTGGTTGAATAGATGAGTAATTTGAACCTTGATAGTTTGATATAACACGTAAAATATTGTTCATTTTGATCCGTCGTTGTTCAGGTTGCAAGCCTTTTTTATATGGATGAGCCAATTCAATATATACCAAATCAGTCAAGTATAATCCTAGAATATATAACTTTGTTTATGTAATATATTGGCTTTGATTGCTTTTTTAATTTAGTTTACCTAAGTATGGTATACATGGAAGTTTTAAACTCTCTAGGTACTCCCTTAAGGTAGCCCAGTTATTATTATCAAGGAAGATGTGTGCCAATTTTTCAAATTGCTGTTTATCTTTTTTCGAAACGTATGACCAGCTTTTTTCAAGACGATATACACTTGCACTTTTTAAAGCGGACGTTACAGCAAATAATGAATGAAGATTATTCAAACCATGCAGATACCGAGAAACCTGAAAGAAAACACATTGAAATAAAAGGAACATTTGTAGCCTAACATTAATCGGTTTGTATCGCAGTGCATTTTACACCAAGTGAAGTACGAGGAAGTATTTTAATACAAATGAGCAAGCTATGAAAACATTAAACGTAACATTGTTTAATGTCAATTGGAACATAATTTTAAGGAATGAACGAAATGTTGAAACTGCTGCGAAATGTCGAAACGTCTTCTACAAAACTATATCAGAAATAATTTCGCAAGAAACACATTTGAAGAAAAAACGTCGTCACAGAAACACAAAAAGTTCTTTTGTTTGGTTCAGACAAATAAAAAACATAAAAAACCACACTTCATACAAGTGTCAAAAAACAAAATAATAGTGAATATTTAGCAATCTATTTGGGCATATGCGATCAACCGAGCCATTAGTAATGCATTTGAAAATTATAATTATAAAACTGAACATGAAAAAAAGTCCTTGCCAAAGAACTTCTGTAGAAGAAGAGTGTTTACACGTCAAGTTTAACTGAAAATTGGATTTTTTTCAATTTTCTGTCGATTTTACGGGAAATTTTGACGATTGGCCGGTGACTTGGCACATCTTTTAGCTACTATCCTGCTGCTGATAAAAAATATAGAAGACGAGGTCGTGCGCAGCCATCTCCGGCAAGTCGCAGGTTCTGTTCGCCGTGGTCTATGTCAGTCGCTATATGCTCCTCATCGTTTTCCACCCTCTACTTGATGTACGTCAAGTTCAAGGCGACCTACGACCATAATCACGATTAGTTCCGTATTGAGTTCCTGTCGTGCTTCGTACTGTCCCTACTGATCAATGCCAGCTTCACTCCGCTGGAGCGGTCGAATGCGGTCTTGCCACAGTTGTTCCTCGTCAGCAAAATCGGAGAAGCGGAAAGTATTACCAGTCATTACCTGTTCGCTTTGGGTTCGTACCGTGCACTGTATATTCTCAACTGGATCTACCGGTACTACACCGAGGGACACTACGGTCTGATTGTGATTTTTGCCGGAGCTATCCAAATGATCCTGTACTGCTATTTATTCTACCTCTACATCACCAAGGTGTTGAAAAGCAGAAAGCTCCAGCTTCTGGCGTAAATTGGCTGATTGGTGAGCGGTCCTATGGGAGCTGTGGTAGGTCTCTAATAACCAACATTCGTTTAAGTAATGTATTCTCCACCATTTCCGCAAAATAAACAAAAAAGGAAATTTGATTACAACAACAAGAAACCAACATTCACTGGAAGGGAATACAATTTAATCTTAAAGCAGATAGCAGCATGTCCGCGTAAGATAGAATGGTTAATATAAGAATTACTTCACTAGATCCACAGGTTCGGTGGAGACACAAAAGCCTACCGTTTGTGGGACCCGAAAGTGAAGCAAATCATCAAGCGCCGCGATGTAATACATTCTTGAAATAGGAGCAGTAACACTACCTAATGATGTCAAGACAACAGAGGCACCGAAAGAAATTCAACTGGATCTTGATAATGAATTCTACTGGGACTCAATTTCCTGTCCAGATCCTAATGACAACGCAACAATTCTTGCGCTCCAGTCGCGCACATCTGCAAATCCACCCAAGTCACCGGTGTTTAGGCGAAGCGGCAGGGAGCGCTTACTTATAGGCAAGTTTATAGATTTATTTTTCTCGAGCAGTGGATCAGGGAATCAAAATCACTGATTCAGATAAAGATATGGTCATTCTCATTTAGTCAAACCCAAAACTCACAACGGAAAGTTCTGGAAAGGTTAATGCGATTATCATTTGTGTTACAGATCAAGAGCAAATTTTAATTACGTCGAAAGTAAGATAGATAAACAAAGTCGAGCTATCAATGTCAATCGATGCTCCTGCTATTACACTATATATGGGAAATGTATGTAATGTCGGCCGAAATGCCCCTAATTTGAGCCCATTCATTAATTCAGGCATAACATTTGATAACGGCACAAAAGCATTTGTAAAAAAAACTTTCTAAGGCCCTTTGCACGCGAACCAAAGTACGCGAACCAAAGTAATTGGAAATAGGAATAACTTTTCAATCATCAAAACAGAAATTGATTTTTCTCGGTTACTTTTTTTTTTTTTTATATTAATTTATTTGTACAGGCTCAATCGAATAAACTTTACAGAGCCGAGTTATCATTTTCATTATACATAATTAATGTCTTAAATCTAGAGTTAAAGGAATTGAACCGATTACTCGCGGTCGTCTCGAGGTTAGTGGAGATTTACAATTTTTTGGATGGGGAAAGGGAGAAGGAGGTTTGAAATATGATTTATTATACAAATATTTAATTAATCCTAAAACATGAACTTATTTCTATTCATCTTGAAGACAAACATTAAAAAAAAACCTACACGCACAATACACAAACTAAACACAAGGTTAATCAAACTTACAATCTAAGGTTAGTATTCTTAAAGTAAACATATATGAGTTTCATAAACTCCAGATCACGTCTAGCCAAAATATCCCGAACTGGAACATTAGGTTGTCTACCTCGAGCCCGAAGGGAATCGCACAGCTCAGATCTGACTCCACGATGCTCAGCACAAGACCAAAGGATGTGATCGGCGTCTTGGTAACCTTGTCCACATTCACAGAGATTGCTGTCTCCCAGCCCAACACGAAACAAGTGAGCGTTTAACGAATAGTGATTGGACATGAGGCGAGACATCAAACGAATGAAGTCTCGACCCACATCCAACCCCTTGAACCAAGGACTCTTCGACACCTTAGGGATGATCGAGAAAAGCCATCGTCCCAAACTTCCTTCACTCCATTTATTTTGCCAGCTGGTGAGCGACTGTTGACGATAAATGAAGAAAAATTCATTGTAGGCGATTTGTCGATCGTAAATATCGCCTTGCATAGCGCCCACCTTAGCAAGTGAGTCAGCCATCTCATTGCCCGGAATCGAGCAATGAGATGGGACCCATGCAAAGGTGATGACAAAAGATCTTAAAGATAAAGCACTTAAAAGCTCTCGTATTTTCATTAGAAAATAAGAGGAGTGCTTTACCGGCCTCATAGAGCGAATAGCCTCGACAGAACTGAGACTATCCGTAAAAATAAAATAATGATCTGGTGCAAGTGAGGCGATCGTTTCTAGCGTATAATATATTGCCGCCAGTTCAGCAACATATACGGAACAAGGATCATGAAGCATTCGAGAGGCGCTATGAAATTCGTTAAAAATACCAAAACCAGCGGACGACTCTATTAGTGATCCATCTGTGAAGAACGATCTTGCGGAATCAACTTGGCCAAACTTTGCAGCGTAAATTGACGGAACAATCATGGAACGATGATGTTCTGGGATTCCACGAATCTCCCGCGTCATAGATAAATCAAAACTAACTGAATTGCCGAAGTCGGAGAAGCATACACGATGGGGATTATGCTGTGAAGGGCTGACATCATGAGTTATGTACACGTAGTACAATGACATAAAACGAGTTTGAGGGTTTAGCTCAAGAAGCTTCTCAAAGTTTTCGATTACCAGTGGGTTCATAACTTCACAACGGGTGAGGAGCCTGAGGGACAATTCCGAAAACCGATCCGATAGTGGCAACATGCCCGCCAACACTTCGAGACTCATCGTATGAGTCGAGTGCATGCATCCTAACGCGATACGAAGACAACGATACTGGATACGTTCCAGTTTGATGATGTGAGTTTTAGCCGCCGACTGGAAGCAAAAACTACCGTACTCCAAAACCGATAAAATCGTTGTCCGGTACAACGTTAGAAGATCTTGCGGATGAGCTCCCCACCACGTTCCGGTAATTGTTCGGAGAAAATTGATCCTTTGTTGGCATTTTCGTCTCAGATACTCAATGTGGGATCTCCAGGTGCATTTGGAATCGAACCAGACCCCAAGATATTTGAAAGACATGGAATGAGTGATCGGCTTACCCAAAAGTTGAAGCTTCGGTTGTGCTGGGCTATGCTTCCTAGAAAAAACGACCAACTCAGTTTTCTCCGTGGAGAATTCGATACCTAGCTGGATAGCCCAAGTAGACAAATTGTCTAAGGTATCCTGTAAGGGTCCTTGCAGGTCGGCCTCTCTGGGTCCTGTCATAGACACTACTCCGTCATCTGCAAGTTGTCTCAACGTGCAGTTGTCCCTTAGACAATTGTCAATTTCTCTGACGTAGAAATTATACAGAAGGGGGCTTAAACATGAGCCCTGGGGGAGACCCATGTAGCTGAATCGTGAAGCTGTAGAGTTTCCATGAGAAAAGCTCATATGTTTCTCTGACAGCAAATTGTACAAAAAGTTATTAATTAATGAGGAAAGGCCACAAGCGTGGAGTTTGTCTGAAAGGACTTCAACCGATACTGAATCAAAAGCCCCCTTAATATCCAAGAACACAGAAGCCATTTGCTCTTTTTTAGCAAAAGCCAACTGGATTTCTGTGGAAAGCAACGCGAGACAGTCGTTCGTTCCCTTACCCCTACGGAAACCAAATTGAGTATCTGAGAGTAGGTGGTTCGTCTCAACCCATTTGTCGAGGCGAAAAAGGATCATTTTCTCCAACAATTTTCGAATGCACGATAACATCGCGATGGGACGATACGAGTTATGATCTGACGCGGGTTTTCCAGGCTTTTTAATGGCTATAACTCTCACTCGCCTCCAATCATCTGGAACAATATTGAACTCCAGGAACTGACAAAACAAGTTCAACATGCGCCTCTTAGCGACGTCTGGGAGGTTCTTCAACAAGTCGAACTTGATCCTATCAGCCCCCGGAGCCGAATTGCGACACGAAAGGAGCGCGAGTGAGAGCTCCAGCATTGAAAAAGGCTGGCTGATCTCGTCTACCGAATTCGTCGTTTCGCGAGGAATCATCTGTGCCGGCACGGAATCAGGACATACTTTTCGCGCGAACTTGAGAATCCACCGGTCCGAGTACTCCTCGCTCTCGTTGTTTGAAGACCGGTTACGCATCCTTCGCGCCGTGTTCCAAAGCGT